AAAAAAAAAAGCTACAAGTCATATGAAAAGCTTCCACAGACACCATGTGCTTTAGTAATAGGAAAAAACCTGTAAATGCCTGTATTGTGGGGGAAGGGAAAACCAATAAGTAGGTTGCCACAGGGATCATGTTCATACACACATATTAAATGGCTTTGCCTGCTTAGATCTGGTTGCATCTGCCTACAGAGACTTCAAGAACCTCTGAAGCACAGGAGAGAGAGGGCACAGTAGTATCTCAAACCATTCATCTCCATGCGCCGCAGGACTGACCAACGGAAATGGGAGTCTGGCTCAGAATCCACAACTTCTACAGTGTTCACGGGAGGGAAGCGGCCAGTAACACCATTACGTTACTCCACTAATACAGCGCGTCTGTCTGCTCACTACCACCTCCCTCCAAAACACCACCTGCAAGCTCCAACTCCCAGAGCAGGGGCAGAAGCCCAACACTTAGAAATTCTCCTACAAATCCACTGGGAGCAGAGAGAACACCCCAGGAAAGAGGGGAGGCGACGAGACAATGCTCCAGAGGGGTATCTTGATTCTCCACAATCTCTTGGTTAATCCTGCCCATTACCCAATCTTATTTCCACCTGGATTTTCCTTATAGCCAACAAAACCCAAACATGCATCGACACTCCAGAAATATTTATATATGGAAAAAAAAATACAGCTTAGCATGTTATCTCTAAGATAGTATATAAATAAGGGGATTGTACACCAATGGATATCAAGGTATCTGTGTTTGCTGGCGTGAAATATGCCTTGAATTTTTCACCAAACTTAAAATAAATGAGCAATTCTGAGTACCAATAACGCAAGCACCGTGTGGGGAGCTTTATATCATCTCACTGAATTGTTACAAAAACCCAATTTCAAACAGATCATGCCCAAAGGCACTTACAACTAACAGATGAAGTAGAATTTTAACCCGTATGTTTGACTCCCACCCAAGCTTTTTAATTCCTCCACACTCCCTGAACTCTAGGCTTAATACTTTATTGTTAAAAACAAAACAGGGGGGCGCCTGGGTGGCGCAGTCGGTTAAGCGTCCGACTTCAGCCAGGTCACGATCTCGCGGTCCGTGAGTTCGAGCCCCCGCGTCAGGCTCTGGGCGGATGGCTCGGAGCCTGGAGCCTGTTTCCGATTCTGTGTCTCCCTCTCTCTCTGCCCCTCCCCCATTCATGCTCTGTCTCTCT